TGCTGCACTGACCCGTGGCGTTGGTCTGCACGTAGATGATCTCGCTCTTGGCGCCGTAGGTGCGCCGCTCGTCCGAGAAGGTGACCAGGGTTTTSACAAACACGGCGTACTGAGTCCAGGGCTTGAGGCCCCGCAGCAGCCAGCCAGGCTGGGCCTGGGCTTTGGGCTCGTTGGAACGGGGGGGAGGATCAACATCCACCACTGTCCAGCTGTTGGAGCCACAGGCATCCTGTCCATCGAATTCTGTCACGTTCTGGTAGGGACTTGGGGAAAGAGAAGGCTCCAGTTAACAGAATCCACACTGTTATCCTCAAAATCCTCATTCCTAAACACACCACTGCAAGTTAGCACYCTTTACCCTTTAGAGAAAATAATATTATCTCGTTGTGTTGATTCTGAAAGGGAGGCATTGGGAGCTTTGTTACCTCTGACAGCATCACAGAGCAGGTTCTGTGCCACACACGACCCCAACAATTAAATCCAGGCTAATTATTGCCAGCTTGATGAAAATCAGCTTGGCTACCTTGATTCTRAAAGAATCTGTCCCACCTCACAGGGAATAAACCCGTCAGCATCCCATGGGGATGACAAACTCCATGGAYTGAGTACATCCAGAATATCAAGAATAAGTTTGGATTGCTCTAAAATAAGATTATTGTGACTGTGCACCAGTCAGGAATCCTAATGAACATTTTTTAAAGGAAAAMCATTGGAAATTTTAGTGTAGGAGCCACAAAATCAGAGACTGAAGAGCTTTGCCCACAGCAGGTTTGACATCCACCCTCCAGTGCCAAATGTCACTTGTGGGAGCCCAAAAGGCTCCTGGGGTCACTCACGCCTCTTTGTAGAACAGCATAAATCCCAGCAGGTCACGGAAATCAGGGGGCCAGTAGGGCTCCCACTTCAGCAGGATCTTGTCGTGGGAAGTCCTGATGGAAGAAAATTTCAGCAGCTCATTTTCACCTGGAACGAAAGAGAAGCGACAATAATTTTATAAAGGCTAAAAAATGAAATGTTTTCAATTAACTTAGAGGTTTAAGATAAATATGAGAATGCTGGCACTGAGAAGAGTTGCCCAGTAAAACCTTATCTTTGATGCAGTTCCTACCTCAAATCAGGGGTTGGAATTGATGCTGTGTTAAGGTTCCTGCCAGCTTAAATCTTTTTATGATTTCAGGAACTGATTCCAAAAAATAAAAATAACTCTGTAGAAGACCTGAACCAAATTCTAAAAAGGGGGAAACCTAAAGGTGACCATTTTACAGTTTATGRTGATCTGCACAGCTGAAACCAGAAGGCAAGAGGCCACAAAAATGAAGCAGGAGAATCTCCAGCCTTGGCTAGGAGCAGTGAGGTCCCTCTGCCAACAGGAGGGTGGTGTTTGCAGGGGGATGGAGCCCAAGGGACATGGCACCATGGTTTGTGC